TTTTCCTTCTGACACAATTCTAAGTAGTGTGACCTTGTAGTCACTGTTGCCTCGAAGGTTTTGCAGGTGGTTCGACTCTTTTCTTATGGGTTTGGACTGGAATGGCGTATGTGCGGTAGGTCGTACATCCGCTATCGCCTCCAAGGTGCGATATCGGTCGATCAGAATTAAATTCATCTCCGACCATTGAGGTATCTCTGTCTTACTGTGGAGCGATTGTTCCCATAATGACAGCAATTTAGAGGACCACAAGAAAATGAGTAGACAATCCCCCAATTCGGTGGTCACCCTGGACAAGTCAAGAGCCGTTAAACACCCCTGTATTGTACCCTGAAGCTCTTTAAGGGCGGCTCTAGACTTTTGTGCTGATGAGGGAAGATTGAAAATAATTTTTAATTGACTATTGAATAATAGTCGCTTTTTCTCAAATCTCGCCGTCAGGCTCGCCCACGCTGACTGAAAGCCATCATTCGTGAGCGGGGACTTTGAGACAGTTGCCCTAGCTTCGCCGCTAGTTTTGGTCAGTCAGTCTTGGATTGTTTATTTAGACGGCTGTAAACAAGTCTCGGAAAGTAGGCCAGCGTAGGTAATTCCCACTGAAAACTTCAGTGTCGCATGGCGGGAGACTGCAACCCCTGGATGTGTAGTGGAAGGGGTGTTGATTAGCTTGTTTATTGAAGGTATTGGCTTTTTCTATTTTCTCACTTAGTCAAGCCGCACATCGCCCGTAAACGGAGTACGAGTAATCATATTTTGGTTGCATAGTCACAAGGTCACTGCTGCTACAAGCGCTTTTGTTGAGAGCTTTACAACGTAACTCGTACTCGCGTTCCACCTTATTCCATAAAGTCTGAATCTTATCTCATCGGACTTGGAGAGTGAACAGAGACACGTCACTATCCGCTGCATCATTGATCTTTAATTCAAACTGGCCTAGTCGGTCCGTTATTGAAACGAAGTCATTCATTCATTCTTTCTGCTTCTTTAGTGTAGTCGAACAGGTAATTTTTGGAGTAATATATCTTATTGGATTCGGATTCACAGGTTTGCGGACGGTTGTGCTGGTACCCTCGACCTTGAGTTTCCCAAAAACCGCTCTAAGTTCTAATCCGCTAATCGGGTGGGATGTGATCAAATCCAAATAAATTAAATCAGCGAGCGAAAACGGAATAAGAAATGGAACAGAAACAGAAAGGCTATCTAAAACAAAATGTTTTTCCATACAACAATTAAATATTCTACCGTTCGTTCCTATGGCAGCTATATGATATAGTGGTCCGATCCAGTTGATTTTGACAAATGTGCTGCGTGCAACAGAAAGAGGGACTTCTGCAAAGATTCATTAAGACAGGTTTTAGTATGAGAGACAAAATTATAATACCCTCTGCAAGGGTATAAAAACGTATGCTTATTGCTTGCTAATTGTTAAGCTCAAGAAGAAGCACATTTATTCTAAAAGCAACTCAATTAAAGCTTTTAACATATAATTATTTTTAAATTATTTTTTATTTTATTAATTGTCGACAAAACGAGTGTCTTCCTCATTATTCAATAGATTATACAATAGAATTATATGCTAAAAGCCTAGTTAAAGAATACAATTTTCTAAATAGCATCACCGACCGATGGGGGTGTTTTATTTGCCGGTCCGGCCAGCTGTGCCCCTTTTCACAGCTAGTTTTGTCAGTGACGCTATTAGAGCCTACATCTAAGAGGAAGGTTGTAAGTAGGAAAAAAGTGTTCTCAAGTAAAATTAAAAATAATCTTAATTTACTATATTAATAAAGAAAATACAATATATAGGAAAAAAGAAGGTAAGAAGTTTGTTAATAAAGTAAAGCAATGTAAGTAAGATAAAGAGTGTTAAGTAGATAGGACAAAGAGAAAAGTAATGGGAAATCACCGACACGGTGGGGGAAAATTTTTCAGCCTGTCCGGCAAGCTATGCCCCTGCTCATGGCTGGGAATGGTCAGCGACTTCCCGAAGGTATCCTGAAAGCCACGGTTTTATTAGGGGTAAAGACAGTTTGGTAGAGGAAACGTTATGCAAAATATTATAATTTTTACATAACACGCGAAAAGGATTGTGCATAGCGTAGTCCGTTGTGCACGCAGATAGGAATTAGGGGCGATAATTTCTGGTTGGTCTAGCCGGAGCAGAGAATTTAAGACGCCCTAGCAGAAAAGAGGAATCTATGTCGCCAATAATCAACTTATGTAGAAGGACAACACCGAGAATTGTCCTACGGTTGGTTAACGACGGAAGGTTGAGAGGAAGCAGTCTGCTGGAGTAGGATGGCAACCGAAGATTAGGGTCCCAATTTAAACCTCGTAAGGAAGAAGCAGAAATTTCTTCTGAACAGATTCAATACGATCCTGGCTATTGTTATACTGTGGAGACCAGATGCAAGAGCATTATTCAAGGATAGGGCGAACAAGAGAGATGTATAGAAGTTTTGTTATAAAAGGATCGTTAAACTCTTTAGACCATCGTTTAATGAATGCAAGTACACCTTTTGCCTCATTAACAATGGTATCTATGCGAAGATTGAAACAGAGTTTAGAATCAAAAATAACGCCTAGATCCCTTACTGTTAGTATACGTTGCATAGGGATATTGTCAATTTATAACTGACAAGATAAGGTGTAGTACGATTAAATGTCATAAACATACACTTTGAACAATTTAAATGCAATTGATTGGCCGAACACCAAAGTTGCATAGCGCTCAAATCGTCTTGTAGACGAGAATAATGTTGGGGATTAGTGTATGATGAGAAAAAGCTTCACATCGTCAGCATACATGAGTATACGGGCATGTGATATAACAGAGGGGAGATCATTTATAAAAAGAGTAAAGAGTAAAGGTTCAAGATGACTACTTTGAGGAACACCAAAAGTAACGTGAACCCGTTAAGAGGTAGTCAGCCTCAGCATTACTCTTTGGGTCCTACCTTTTAAATAAGAATTAATCCAAAGTAAAAGAGACAGAGGGAAACCTATTTGGTCAAGTTAAAAAAGTAAAATTACATGGTGTACAGAGTCAAACGCCTTACTGAAGTCAGTGTAAATGACATCAGTTTGCATTTTCAAAAGGAAAACATCATTTACCAAGGAAGTAAACTCAAGCAGATTGGTCGTAGTCTTTACGAATCCATGTTGAACAGGGGAAACAACTGATTTGCAGAATTGTTGTGAATTCGAAGTGATTATTTTTTCAAATAATTTAGGAATAGCGGACAGTTTTGCAATGCCCCTCTAATTTTGTATATCAGACTTCCCACCTTTCTTGTGAAGAGGAATGATATCAGATTCTTTCCAAAGAGATACAAAGACAGAAGTTTCAAGGGATAGATTAAAAAGCTTTAGCAATGGATAAAGAAGGGAAGAACTACACTCTGTGCGTAGACAACTAGGAATATTGTCCGGCCCAGGAGAGTAAGAAGATTTTAAAGAGTTTATAGCTAATAGGAGAGAAGAGTGTGAAATAATGGGAGGAGGTATAGAACTCGCGGAAGAAATAGTATAAGGCTAAGAATTAGTATTAGGACAGACTGAAGAGTAAGTTGATTGGAAAAAATTAGCAAAGAGGTTAGCAGAATCAGTGTCATTGCTAGTTAGATAATTCTCATAGCATTGAGAATTAAGAAAAAAGAAGTTCGATTTGGCTATGGAATATTTAGCCAAGTCTGTACACGAACCAGACTTTGTAAACTTTTTAAAATATTTGGATTTTACATTTTGTTGATGTGATAATCTGAGAGAAAGCCAGGGTGGTTTTGAAAGAGTAGTCCAAGGAATTGACTCAGGAATACACACATCTGAGAGGGAGTTTAGGGTGATAAAAAAAAATTAATGGCTGTATTAATATCAACTGAGTCATATAAGAAAGATCAATCGGTTGCATAAATAAGCTGATTCAGCAAAGAATAATTTCCTTTGCGTAAGCAACAGCCGGGCTTATTGGCTGATGAGCACGAAATGATAGGATTACAATTGCGCATTGCAATCTCTAAAGTAGGATGATAAACATCCTCAGAAAGAGATAAAGGAGGGGACCTATACACATTGGAAATAAGGTATATTGATATATTACGCAACACTGCTCAGTGGAAACTTCTTAACTTATAATTATTATAAATTAAATTTGTATAAGATTAAAGAGAATATATTATTAAGTATACGCAGTTCGGTGGCAGAGTGGAAACATACACAAATATAAAAGTGGCTCACAATCAGTTTATCGAAGCCCGATCTTGATATTTTTTACAACCCTTATGTTGTTTACTTGTTGCACTTGCCAATTAATTGTTCAAAATGAATATACATAAATTGTCTTGAAGCTGCAGTGTTCTTAACATGCATTTAAATTTGCACAGATATTGGTTTTAATTAACTAATTGTGTGTTTTCTACTTAGGTATGTGCCTATGTATGCAGATATGTCTTGATGCACTGGCATACTTCAATATAGTGATCGGTTAAATGTTTTGGGTATGCACTTGTTCATATATACATATATACGGACAACAATATGGCGACCTTCTTATTCATTTCTAGTCACTTTCTGTTTTGCTTCTTTTAATATCTGTTAATGATGCCTTTATGGCCACGAACAATATTTTATTTGAGGTTTTTGTTTGTTTGAATGAAACTGCCCCTTGATCTAACCACAGACAATGTTAAGCTAAAAAATATGTTCAGACATAAATATAAATAAGTCGGACAGGAATTTTCGACAAGTTGAGGTAGGTGGATTGCTACTTATCTTGCTTTGATTGTAGCGGTTCCTGTAAACTTTTATTGCAGATCCACCGATACTTGCTGGCGCAAACTGGATATAAATAGCCAAACATTGTAAAATATCCGGCTCGAAGGACCAAATGTTGTGGTAGGGCGTCCGCATGGCAGTTAAACTTTTATTGAATTCTTGAATCCTTGGGGAGCGATTATGCTCTGCTCAACATTTTTTCCGTTGGTGTAAGAAAAACACGTTTGACCCCTCTTTAGGTTATTTGTCGTCTGTATTTTATGATCCAATGTTACAATGCTTTAGTGCGAGTGTGAGTGTGAGTGGTGAAAAATTTTGTTCTGGTTCCGGAGTCAGAACCAACTTCATTAAAGTAGCGACGGCTAAGTACCTCTCTTGTCTGAACACCTCTCAATACACATATATACAGAGCATAATACAAATTTGGATATACATTTTTTAGACTCATTTCGATTTATGGCAATAAGTTTAGATTGTATTAGCTCTAACTTAGTATATAATAATTTCACAAATGTTTTTCCCGGACGAAACACACTTTAATATAACATAGTAAGGGAGTTTTCCCATATAAACACTTTACTTAATTTAATGTTTGCACGAAACTGTTCTTCCACCAAGGAAAAAATTTTTCAGCAGTCCTGCAAATAGAGAATTTTTAGATGGTTTTTTACACGCTCAGAACGTGTGGAGAGTTTTAAATTGTAAAACTCTCAAATATTATACGAGGCTGTATTTAAAGACAGACGTACTTTTGCTTGCAGATACTTTCGTACATTTTCGTTTGATTTGCAAAAATATTTATTCCTTCGACCCAGCCCATTATTAGACTGTTCCGGGGTTATCTTCGGATGCTATGCTAAAAACAACTGGAATAGAATTAGAATTATTTACAGACAGATATGTCAGAGATATTCAATTGCTAATCATAAGTCCCTCTCAATATTTTATGTATTTGGATTCAAATAATCTATATGGGTGGCCGATGTCATTTCCAGTGGCTAAGTAAGGTTGAAATACGATTATTTAATTTATCACTAAGACCTAAGACCGAAATATTAATATCCTATACGTTATAGAAATCTTCAACAATGTATTCATAACGGATTGTGGTTAACTAACATGTACCGTATATTCCGGCTTAAGCAGTCTCCTATGGAAAACGTTAATAAACGTAAAAACATTAAATTGGTAACTGCATGGGGAACAACGTCCTGCAATAGATTGGAAGTAGAGGCATTAATCGCAAAATCAAACTTTCATAGTTTCAGTGAAATTCTCGACTAATATTCTGTAGGTTTTACAGTATTAATATGTATTTCGATGTATGATTTTAATATTGATTATATGGAAGAAAAGTTTAAAATAACTTATATGGGTACAGACTCCTTAATATATACAATTAAACCTGAGGAATATTATGCAGAATTTAGAGATGATCTCGAAATTAAATTCGATACATCTAAAAAGAGAGTTAATAAAAAAGTCTTGGGCATGATAAAAGATGAGAAAAATGATAGGATAATGAAAGAATTTATAGGACTTCGACCCAAAATGGACTGATTCAAACTTGAGAACGAAGGCTGTGTTAAAGACATCAATCTAAAATGCTTTAAGGATTGTCTTTTTAATAATAAATCATATACAACGAATAACATATTCATTTTAAGATCTAACTTACATAAATTGTAGACTCAACAAATAAAATAGTAGCTTTAAGTTCTCAAGATGATAAGAGAAAAATAAGATATGATTGTATGCATACTTATGCATGGGCTCACTATAACATTGTAAGTTAATTGGTTAAATAAAAACAATAAAAAAATGAATTCGATCTTTTTCATTTTATTCTGAAATTGTATATAAATTTAGAGAGAGAAAGAGTCAAACTGAGTTACCTTAAAAAATTAAATTCAAATTTAAATTGAGATTTAATAATATATCGTGAGATTCAAGAAAATATAATATCATCTACAACTCTTGTCCTTTTTGATGAGGATGATGATATCGTTGAAGTCCCTGAAACAGTCATTGAAGATGAAGAGGACGATATATTTAACAATACACAACATTATTTGAAACGAGAAGCTCAACCAATACAATTATTAGATAAGGAAGTAGAACTTTTAGAATGTTAAAATTTATTTTATTAATAAAATTATATATATATATAGTGACAGATCTATAGTCGCACCCACCCTTTAACATAACTTAGCAAATAAGCATAGGCACAAGTATAAACATTTCTAATATTGTAAACAAAGAGCCTGGTGATAACATCGACATTGGTCAATATCAAACTGTCCCCCTTTGGTAGACATAAACAATTCACCCTAAATATCACGCCACTGTCAAGGTTCCCATCAGAGCACTATCCCACGCATAATTGCTGACGCAGCTCAAACTTCACTCAATTTTGACTCAAACTCTCTCAAAGCGAAGTTTGCTAAGCGACCGCAAACAGTTAGATAAATCAGTTAATATTCGTGAAGCAAATCTGAATGTACTCAACAAAAGTAGGCGTTAAGTGAAAATAATAAATTGAAATGTATTTTTTTTATTGTGTAAAACTTAATTGGCGGCGCCGGACCCTTTGGGCAATAAAGCTACTACAATTAATAACGACTGGCTTTGCATATCGTTTGATCCCTGCAATACGTTATTACTGGGTCTTTTTAAGACACTCACACACAAAAAAAAAAAAAAACATTTAAACAATAATCCATCACAAACTATAATCTGAAAAGTGCAAAATCAAAGAACAATAAAGTTCAAACCTACAAACTCAAAACTATTAAAAACAAAGAAAATCATCTAACGAAAAAAAAAGTGTATTACACCATGATGACCATGGAATTATCAGAACAACAGCTCAACCAGGCCCTTTCACAACTAAGAGAGGTGCCAAGCTTTGACGGATCAACGGAAAATCTAAACGCCTTCATTAAAAGAATCGATTACATCCTAAACCTTTATCCAACCCGAGATGTTAGACAACATAGCATCTTATACGGAGCCATCGAATTGCAAGTCACAGGAGATGCTCAGAGAATTTCACAAAGGATAGCAGCCAACACTTGGCAGGAGCTGAGAAACGCATTGATTGAAGAATACAAAGTGCAGACACCATTTGAAGAACTCCTTCGACGCTTATACAACACGAATTACCAAGGAAACGTCCGTAAGTTCATCGAGGAGCTCGAAAATAAATCTTTTGTTATATTAAATAAGTTAGCACTAGAAAATATACCTAGCAATACGACACTTTATACAAATGCTATGAATAACACAATCAAAGATGTTATTACAAAAAAATTACCAGATAGGCTTTTCATGATGTTAGCCAGATACGACATTACGTCGACACAAAAACTAAAGCAATTAGCTCAAAGAGAGGGATTTTATGAAAATAGCGGTACTGAAAAACCTAAAAATAATAATATTCATGGAAATCAAAATAACAATCGTAGGAACATGGGAAATTATCAGCAAAATGCTAACCCAACCACCAGTTCATGTGGTTATTCCAACACGAATCAGAGTTATCACGCACAAAATAAACAGCACAATAAGTCCGAAGACAATCAGAAAGCTAACCACGAGTTCCAACAGAAATTAAATCAAGGTAGATACCAAAATCCTTTAAATTATCAAAATCAGTCCCATTCACGCTTGAATGCGCCAAACCCTCCGACTAAACGTCAAAGAGATAGTAACAGTGGCCAGATGAAAATGGATACATCCGAAAATTTTCATCAGCAAGCCTCGGAACAAACAGAAGAAATCTATTCATAAAATTGATTATGAATGACGAAGTTCTCAAATGTGCCATTGACACAGGCTCAACCATAAATCTAATTATGGTTCACACCATAAATGGTGTTATTGATTTAAAGCAAAGCAACAAAACAATGAGTTTAGGCTAGAGCACCTAAACTCAGAAGAAAAAGAAAAAATTAAAAAAGTTTTACATGATTTTCGTGATATCCAGTACCATGAAGGTGACAATTTGACAATCACTAGTACAATTAAACACAAAATTCTAACAAAACATGAGGACCCAATTTACAACCGTCCATACAAATATCCTCAAATATACGATGTGGAAGTAAATAAACAAATAAGCGATATGATAAAACAAAATATCATACGTAAATCCAAATCCCCTTACTGCTCATCAGTAATAATCGTTCCAAAGAAAAACGATGCATCTGGAAAGCAAAAGTTCCGGTTAGTCATAGATTACCGCAATCTCAATGAATTAACTATTAATGATAAATACCCTATCCCGATCATGGATGAAATATTAGACAAACTTGGAAAATGTCAATATTTCACAACCATTGATCTAGCCAAAGGCTTCCACAAAATCCAAATGGATCTTGGTTCAATACCCAAGTCCGCATTTTCGACTAAACTAAACTCGCATGCCATTTGGTGTTAAGAATGCACCTGCATCGTTCCAAGGTTGTATGAACAATCTCTTAGAAGATTTAATTTTTAAGGATTGTCTGGTCTACTTAGACGACATTATTATTTTTTCCACTTCATTGGAGGAACACATTTTGTCGCTACAAAAGGTATTTAAGAAGCTTAGAGAAGCTAACTTAAAACTACAGTTGAATAAATGCGAGTTTATGAGAAAAGAAACTGAATTTCTCGGTCACATCATCACAACTGAGGGTATAAAACCAAATCCCCACAAATAAAAGCATTTGTCAAATACCCAATTCCAAAAACCCCAAAAGAAATTAAATCATTTTTAGGTTTATGTGGTTTCTATAAGAAATTTATACCAAATTTCGCTAATATAGTAAAACACTTAATTAAACACTTAACACTTAAATTAAAAAGGCAGCAAAAATCAATATAAATGACAAACACTATGAACTAGCGCTTGAAAAGCTAAAAGTACTCATAATATCCGACCCAATTTTAATATACCCTTACTTCGAAAAACCATTTTCGTTAACTACAGACGCGAGTAATATGGCAATAGGGGCCGTCCTTTCGCAAGAGCATAAGCCTATATGCTATGCAAGTAGAACTCTCAACGAGCATGAAATAAATTATTCAACGATTGAAAAAGAAATATTAGCAATCGGCCACTAAATACTTTAGGTCCTATCTCTTTGGTCCACAATTTCAAATCCTTAGTGATCACAGACCACTCGTCTGGCTAAATAACATGAAATTACAAAGATGGAAAATCAAGCTAAATGAGTTTGATTTCCAAATTAAATACGTCCCAGGAAAAGAAAATTATGTGGCAGATGCTCTGTCCAAAATTCAATTAAACGAAAACTTCTAAGGCGAAGATACAATTAGCACAAGAGCAAAAATATATAGTGCTCAAGTAGACAACAGTAACCATTTACAAATCTCAGAAAGACCTCTTAATTATTATTACGACAAATGGCATTTGAAAAAGAACCGAGAACGAAACAAAAGTTACGAATTACTTTCATAAAACCAACATAAAAATTACATACAAAGACATGACTAACACGCATGCCAAAGAATTAATAAAAGAATACTTATGCACAAAGAAAAGTGTGCTATACTCCCACTGCGAAGCAGATTTTCCAATTTTTCAAGAAGCCTACTTAGAAATAATAAGTACGAACAATTCAACAAATGAAAACTAGTAAAATATTAATTTATCTTCAAACATTCGTAGAATTCAAAGAACCAATATTAAAAACTCACAAAGAATTATTGCATCCGGGTATTGAAAAAACTATTAATTGTTTCAAAGAAACCCACTATTTCCCAGATTATCAAAATTTAATTCAAAATCTAATAAACGGATGTGAGATTGGCAACATCGCAAAAACAGAACACAGGGATACAAAATTTACTTTCAAAATAACTCTGGAAATCGTTAATATGATATGGATTTCTA